TCTGCCTTCAGTATGGATTATACCTCAACATAAGACAAAATAAAAATCCTCACAATGGGACCAATAAACATCATTATAAATGGAGAAAAGGTGCAAGTTGTCAAGGATTTCATTTTATTTGGCTCTACAATCAGCATCCATGGAAGCTGCAGTCAAGAAAGCAAATGACATACTGCTGCAAAAGACATCTCTAAAGTGTTAAAAAGCAAAGATGTCTCTTTGAGAACAAAGGAGTACCCGACACAAGCCATGGTATTTTCAATCACCTTATAAGCATGCAAAAGGTGAACAACGAGTAAGGCAGACAGACCAAAGAATTGATGCATTTGAATTTTGGTACTGGCAAAGAATATTAAATATTATCATGGACTATCAGAAGAAGAGCCAAATCTTGCAAGATGTACAGATGGCCTGTGCCTTAGAGGCGAGGCTGGTGAGACTTCGTTCCATGTAATTTGGACATGCTATCAGAAGGAACTGGTTCCTGGAGAAGGATCTCAGGCTTGGTAAAGCAGAGGGTCAGGCTAAAAGAAGAGGACCCTCAGGGAAATAGAACGACACAGTGGCAGCAACATGGGCTCAAACAACAACCATTACGATGATGGTGCGACACTGGGCAGTGTTTCATTCTGCTGTTCGTAGGGACACTGCTAGCTGAAAACAACTCAACATCACCTAACAACAAGGAGAGATTAAGAAATTTAAAAAGCTTTTCTAAATGGAATGCTGGCCTAAGTGAGGAAATGGGATAATTCTTCCTGTTTTGTACCAGGAGGAATGATCTGGAAAGGTCCTGCAGAGAAGGAGTGCCTGAAGCCACTGGGTGTTTACAGGAATCCATGGTAACTACTCACCTGTAATACTGATAGTTAGTAACGACACTTACCACAACCACCTGCTTCTATGGAGTATTTCCTCTTTGTTATAAAGTTAGTGATGAATAAGGTTTTTAAAAATACATGTATTACTGATCTTTTCATGAAGTTTACACAGCAAATTAGGTTCCCACTTAACAATTTCTATACATATTGTCCAGTGACATTGGTGACATTCTTCACAACGTGTCAACAGTCTCAGTATTTCTGTTCTGGTTGTTCCGTTACCATTCATCTAGCTTCTCTGCTACCCCTTAGCTTCTCATCTGTGCTTTAGAAGCAATGCTGACCTTGTGGTCTTGTGTAGATGATGTGTTAAAGAGCACAGTGTTTACTCATGGGTGCTAACTATTTACTTCGATTTAGGAAAGGTAACCTTCAGAAGTGGTTTCCATTCCAAGTTTAAAGTGGATCTCAGAGCAAGTCTCTCAGGGCTCCCTCCAGTCTCTAGTGGGCCAGTACGGCTGGTCATTTGACTCTAAATGTTACTTTAGATTTTACAGTATCATCGCCTAATGAAGATCAATATTAACACTTCATTTGTCTGGTAATAGGCAAGGAAGCCCCCAGACATGAAATCTGTCAAAACAGTTATCACCGAGTTCATTAATTTCATTATGGAGAAGTCTAAGTGTGGTCCAATCCCAATAAACGTGACTATTTGCTTTCTTAATTCACAGTACACCACTAGGACAAGTGGATACACATAAGAAATGACAGCTAACAATGTTGGACAATAAAAGAAGAGGCAGAATAAAACAACAACCAACAAAAAAATCTTTGAAACAAATAGCATAAAGGACTTTTTGTGAATATTTAAATAGATTACTGACTTAAGTTATCTATTATAGTTTTTAGGGTCTTGATGACCCTTGAATCACCAAGAAAGGGTTAAATCACATTTAGTGTAGTACTCAGGTGGAGCCCTGGTATGGCGCACTATAGGGTAAACAATGGACCACAAGGTTAGCGATTCAAATTTACCAGCTGCTCCTTGGAAACCCTATCCAGGGTCGCTATGAGTCGGGACTGACACAATAGCACTTTAACAACAACAGAAGTACAGAGGCAGGTTAGTACTTCCAATAAATGATTAAAATAAGAGCTTTAGTATTGAAGGTTTAAGCCTCAGTTACCTAGGAAATTCCATTAAGTGAAACACCTATTCCCAAATGAAGCCAGACAAATAAACCAAATACAAACACACATATTCAGCAAAGTTAATTCCTACAACTAATGTCTGTGACATTCAATATGAGCTTTTGTCAAAAATAAGGAATGATCCTGAAACGTAAACTACTTCCTTTACGCTGAGTGTCCATTTATTTGGATGAGATGATGTGTTTATGAGAACAACCTTCCAGGGCAGTTTAAAGGAAAGGAAAATAGTCCAGATATGGGTAATATCACCACTAAAATATAGCTCTAAATTTTTATCTTTTTTTTAAAAGTAGAAAAGATACTTTAAAAACTATTATGTAATATCAGCCAATGGGTCTAGTGAAAGCTGGAGACATAAAATTGAATCAATGAAGCCTTGTATCTGACTAAGCATGTCCTCATGAGTGGTGGGCCCCGAACATTTGTAGTTCATGCTTCTTCCACTTCTCTTCTACATCTTCCTGTCCTAACGCCAGGACTCCAGAGCCATCCCTGGTTCTTTACTGATACTAATGACCAATTAACTCATTTTATGAGAAACTCAGAAAAGAAAGGGGGGTGGGTGGGAGGGAACGCAATGGAAGTAAAGTGGGTAGAGCTTTACAGACAATCCCAGATGCTTCCATGAGTCCTTTTCTGTAAGAACACATGCCACAAATAAGTTCTTGAGTCCATTTGGCTTAAACGGCATACATTAAAAGCAAAGAGACCCTAATTTAGAATATGGGACCAATTAAGATGCACAAATTGTGTTTAACTGTATCATGAAAAGCAATTACAAATTTATTTAAGATAATTCTGTTAAGAATCATGAAACAGGGACTTAATACAGCATCTACAGCAAAGTATAAATAGTCTTCTGATTAGAAGATTAACTTATTCTTTCCTATTAGAGCACAAGATCAGTCTTTTCTGATCATTTAAACTCAAGTACATTACCAAAAAAACCCACTTTTGGCTGAAGAGCAACTATTCTAATAAAAACTTTGAAGAGCATGTCATAGAGGTAAACTTGAATATAAATAATACTTGGTGTGTTTCACATTCAGGTTTCCCATATGCCTAAAGTATATATAAGACAACAAAAGTTTTAGAGAGCTTAATATAAGTACTTCCTTAAGATACCATTCAGTTGTCAGTATTCTCAGGCTGTATGTTGTTGTTGGTAGGTGCTGATGAGTCGTCTCCGACTCACAGTGACCTTATGCACAACAGAACAAAAGAGTGCTCAGTCCTGCTCCATCCTCACAATTGTTAAGCTTGAGCCCATTGCTGCTGCCACTGTGTCAATCTATCTCATTGGGGGTCTTCCTCATTTTTGCTGACCCTCCACTTTACCTAGCATGATGTCCTTCTTCAGAGACTAGTCCTTCCTGATAAGAAGTCTGAACTATGAGAGACGAAGTCTCATCATCCAGGCCTCTGGGGAACATTCTGGCTGTACTTCTTCCAACACAGACTGTTTTATTCTTCTAGCAGTCCATGGTACTTTAAATTGATAGCATAATGAACATGGAGTCCTGGTGTGGCGCTGTAGGATAAACACTGGGCCACAAGGTCAGTATCAACTGCAAGGGTGGTGGCTGAAACTCACGAACTGCTCCTCAGAAACCCATATACAGGGTTGCTATGAGTTGGAACCAACTCGATGGCATTTCACAACAACAATAGTGAACATAGTTTTATTGATAATGTGGCCCTTGTTATGAACAGGATTCTTTGGCTTGGCCTACAGTCAGACTCACAGAGGTGTCCCAGGAGGTCCTTGTGAAATGTGGACTGCTAGTTTACCCAGAGTGGTAAATCTCTCAGAAGGCTGTGCTTTTCTGGGGTGTCAGTCTCCTCCCTTCAGAGCACTACCAGTATTTCTTTCCTAACAGCATACTACTATTACGATGGCTACTATAAATCTGATATCAAGTCTGTGAATCATTGATCTTATTTATAGTCTAACTCTGAACAAAGACCTAAAAGGGGCTTTCTGACACCCTCAGGCATATAACAATGGTAGTTTGATGAAATGTATGGATTTTCTTCAAATATACTCAGTCATCCCATTTATTTATGGGTGTGTAATTGTGTTTCAAGGAGTTCTGGTAGTGTACTCGTTACGATTAGGGCTGCAAACCTTAAGGCCAGCAGTTTGAAACTACCAGCTGTTCCACAGAAGAAAGTTGAGGCTTTCTGCTCCCGTAAAGATTTACAGCCTCGGAAACCATGTATAGGGTCGCTATGAGTTGAAACTGACTCCACGGCACCCACCACCAATTGTGTTTCAAATCTGTGGACACAACTAAGCTATAAATACCAGTTAAATGGTATTAGTGAACGAATCAGTAATATAATTGACTGCTTTACTAAGTGTTGAGTGAATAAATATGCTCTTATACTAGTCTCAAGAATAATTTAAAGAAAAAAACCTAAAAAATAATAGTAAATATTAATTATGGTAAAAGTTTAAAAAAAACAACAACAAACAACCCAACAACAACTTTTCAGTCAATAAAGATCTTTACAGACTGCTAAGTATATATAAAGTATATCTGGGGCAAGATTAAACAATTCACACATTAAGTTATTATGTTATATCTAATGAAAATTTTAAGCTACTAAGCAATGAATGTCCTTTAAAGTACATAATAATTAGCTAGGAATAACTGCAAGGTAAGCATTACCCAAAGCTACCAGTCAGAAAATAACCAACCAGTATACTGGGAAGTGTCTCAAACTAAACCTGAATAAACCAGGCAAACAAAATTAATTAATGTATTTGCCCCGGCACCATTTTTGTCTGCTAAAAAGGAAAATGAAACCACATAGGAGAAATAAAAGAAACAAAGTTTCTATTTTTCATTGCAAATTTTCATGGAATTCAGAACAAAAATTTTTAAAGGCTTTGGAATAAAAGCAGGAATTAATTTTAATGCTGACAATAACAGATACAACTTTTGGATCAACACCTACCGATTTTTTTCTACTGTTTTCCAGATCTTTGAGTTCATTCTCGATTTTTGTGATTAATTCCCTGAGTTCATCAAGATTAGTGCAAATAAGCTAAAATAAAACACAAAAACACAGCTTGATAACACATAATATAAAACACCCAAAATGTGGTAAACAGAAGTTGTTTTAACACACACTGAATTCACAAATAATTTTTCTAATAGCAAAAGCAAGGAAAGCTCTGGTTTATAGTTAAATTGCTATTTGTTACGATGTATGTTCAGGCTTACTAAAAAAGAAACAGAAATGTGTGCAGTGTTGGTTTCATCCCACATCCCCACCTTTCATTTTGCTTTCTAACCCAAGTATTTCTGTAACATTATTATTAGCTTTCAGCCCAGAATGACAAAGATCTGGAAACTCACCCTATGTTTCATCGGTTACTGAATCACCTTTAAGAAATGCTTCCTCAGGCAGTTTCTGAGTAGGTGATCAGTGTATGTACCCTGGACAACTGTTGTACCTTTGCTATGGTTTACTAATTACACATTTCAATAAATCTCAGTGATTGCAGTAGGGACTGCTAAGAAAGGACTTCCACTACATGTAAGATACACAGAGATAAAAGTACCCATTTTTCATGTGAGTTTCATAGTTTGAATAAAACCATCTCCATAGGTAGCATTTACCTCCTTTCTTAAATTGTATAGCTCACTTTATTTCAACAAGTAATTTTGCCAGATGGTCCAAATAACTGATGCTCAGTTATTAACAATAACCAAATCAGCTTAGCTTACTTAAGTTTTAAATAGAGAAATGTTAGCAATAACAACAAAAATATGAATATTGACATTTTGGTTCTTATACACTTGTACTGAATTTTTCCAGTTAGTTTAATATACCTAACTTTTATTAAAATAATTTAAGCCTGTACTTAAAAATAATGTGAAAAATTGGAGCTTTCTGAAATAAAACTGTAGCCACATATGGAGGGTACGTTTAATGCTAAATCTTATGGCAATGTTTATGCTATATTTTTTAAAGCATACAGTACTTACAAAGCTATTCATTAATTTTAATAGAATTCATGTTTGTTATATTCATCAATTTCAACGTGGAGGCAGGCACTGTTTTCCTAAAAGGCATACTTTCATTAGAAAAAGTGGGTAATAAAACGCTCTTTCCCAGTTGTTGTTGTTGTTGTTGTTAAGTACTGTGTAGTTGGTTCCGACTCATAGTGACCCTGCACAGGGTTTCCAAGGCTGTAAATCTTTATGGGAGCAGAACACCTCATCTTTCTCCCGTGGAACCACTGGCAGTTTCAAACTGCAGACCATGAGGTTCGCAGTCCCACTCGTAACCACTACGCTACCAGAGCTCCTTCCCAGTAACTGACAAAAATGGGGGCAAAGAGTCCTTCAAATATCCTTTAATATTAGCTTGAACCATATGAAATTGCTGATATGCAGCTATTTTTTAAGAGTACAAAAATGGCAATATGGTTCAACCTAATGTGTGGCGCTGTAGGTTAATGCGCCAGACTGCAAAGCCGTTTGAACTGCAAGATCGGTGGTTCAAGTTCACCAGCTGTTCCTTGGAAACCCTACACTGGGTAGCTATGGGTCAGAACCGACTCGACAGCACTTAACAATAGAATAATAATAATAATAATATACAGATATAACTTGTAATTAGTGTTGTTGTTAAGTACCATTGAACCAGTTACCACTGATAGTGACCCTGCGTAGGGTTTCTGAGGAGCAGCTGGTGGGTCTGAACTGCTGGCCTTACAGCTCACAGTTCAGTGCTGATCCTACAGCACCGCACCAGAATAATATTAATGATAATTTCTATCTGCAGGGTTTTCCTTAGTCTGCAGGTTGGACTTTAGAGTAGGACACACAAATGTAGTGGGATGGTGGCAAATGGTATCTATTAGACACTCACCACCCATTCCCACTTGCCAGACGTGATGAATTGTTGGTCAAGCAGTGGACTGCCGAGCCAACCATGTAAGTACACCTAGAACTAGGGACAGTGGGCCTGCCTTGGTTTCTAGGGTTCACAAGTTTTCCACCTTTGACAAGATACAGTCTTACTATTTGCGTTTTCTTTGTCTTACAAGTTTCTGCAGTTCCGCAGTTCTGCAGTTCCACTCTTGCAGGTTTGACTGTACCTACGTGAATTCCTGGTGAGGCACTGTAGGATCAGCACTGGACCATGAACCACAAGGTCAGCAGTTCAAACCCACTAGCTGCTCCTGGGAAACCCTATACAGGGTTGTTATGGGTCGGAGTCGACTTGACGGCACTTAACAACATGAAGTTGTTAGAACTGCCATTACAGTGATAAAGCCTTACAACAGTGTTACTTTCAGAGCAGTTTTCCAAGTGCGCGGTGAGAACGCCACCTCTTCCTGTAGCATAATTTGCTATAAGACTCCCATGGGTTAACTCAAACTCCTTTGTATCACTTCACATTACATTAGCACAGATTTCTCATTTGCACAAAAAGCAGCTCAGAGGAATTTTCGCTTACATCCTAGTTGTCTCATTACACAAAGGACTGGAGGACATTTTAAGGTAGTTTGTAGAAACCCTACAAGCAAACACACACTAAAAATCTAAGATCTTTTAACTACCAATCAGCCATGAAATCAACACAGATTCAATACATAAAATTGGTAAGTGCCATCGAATTGGTTCCCACTCACAGCGATCCTGTATAGTATTTCTGAGGCTGTAAATCTCTGCATCTTTCTCCCATTAAGCAAGCGGCTGGTAGGCTCAAACTGCCGACATTGTGGCTCACAGTCCAGTGTATATCTTATAGAGCCACCCAGCTCCCTAACATAAAATTGTTGTTGTTAAGTGCCATCGAGTCATTTCTGACCCATAGCGACCCTGTATAGGGAATCTGATGATTGGCTAGTAAGCTTGAACGGCTTATGTTGTGGTTCGACCTGACATTGCAGCCCAGCACCCACAACCTAAATAGTGCTACATAAAATAACACTTTCAAGAGGGTTGGCAAGTAAGCTGTACTGCATCAGTCAGCACGTTTCAAACTTCAAAGCATAAAAGAAGCACCCTGAGAGCTTATGACAATGTTATTTTAAATTTATTAAGGCTGAGGTGGGATAAGTTCTCAGGTACGGCTTGCAGACCACATATTTGAGAAGTAAGGTATTATTAATTACAAAACATCCTGATACTATGAAGCTGATGAATATAAAATTTCAAAAAGATTAATCTCAAATGTTAAGTGCCATCGAGTCGGTTCTGACCCATAGTGACCCTGTATAGGATTTCCAAGGAGTGACTGGTGAGCTTGAACCACCGACCTTGCAGTTCAAACGGCTTTGCAGTCTGGCGCATTAACCCACAGCGCCACACCAGGACTCCAATCTCAAATAGGGGATGGCATATTAAATGCACAGTGATAAAAGAAATGTTGCTTACACTAAATGATTATGACTACTAAATACAAATTTCATTGAATTTGAGGGTCAAAATATTTTCAGCAATATTTACATAAAACTATATTAAAATGATTTAATAGCTACAAAACGATTCACTCTCTTTACAGCATTTATCTTTTATATATATTTGAAGTCCCCTCGTAAACATATGGTGTTCTGGTGTGGTGCTGTAGGATATGCAGTGGACTGCTAACCACAAGGTCTGTGGTTCAAACCCACACGCTGAGCCTCTACTCTAGTGGGTCACTATGCGTCAGAACCAACTTAATGGCACTTAACCCCATAACATAAAATATAAATATATACACCTGAGTAAGCCAGCGTTCATACATGCAGGGGGGGGTTTATTCCAAACAGAAAGTGTTTAAATATGTCTCTGTGACCAATGACTGGCTGCAGACAAGCTCAGTAACATTTGTCTTAGTCTTGTTCAGATGCCTTCAAAGAAAAGATAATTTTTGTGTCATGGAAAAAAGTGATTTTAAAGAAAGGACTAAAAAAATTTCTACTCAAACTCAAGCAGACATCTTCCCGTATCATTAAATCTTTGCAACAAGTTTAAGGAAATGCTGCCCCACACAAAACAAAAGTTTTTAGATGGATCAAGCATTTTAAGGAAGGTCAGGAAGACTTCAAAAATGACTTCAAGACAGAGGCCAGCACAGAAGGTTAGGGAGACAGCTTTTTTGGGATTCCAAATGGGTAATCTTGGTAGATTTTCTTGAAGGACACAGGATGATAATGGGACTCACTAGAAAGACGTTTTTAAAACACTGAAAACTGCGTTGGTAAGAAAAAGGCACCGAGGAATTTTTTTTCCTTCACAATACATGTGCTCATTCTTCAAGAGTTGCAATGGCTATCCTGAAAGTTTCACTGGGAAACCTCAACCCCGCCCCCATCCACCCTACAGCCCTGATCTTGACCCTTTACAGATTTCTGTGTATTCCCCAAATTCAAAGAACTTTGAAAAGGAATACAATTTGAGTCTCCTGAGGATGCCCAAACTGCCATTTTGACATGGTGTCAATTAGAGTGCAGACTTCTACAGGAAGTAGCTAGAGAGGCGGACACGCTGCCTTCAGAGGTGTAGAGATCTAGACGGAGAACAACACTGAAACAATCACTTCACAGTTTGATATTTTTGTTTCATAAAGGTTTCCATGATTTTATAGCAATACTTTTTGAGTTAATTTAATGTCTATACATACAGCTATAGTATATGTGTGTGTATATCTATACATACATTCATATATATACACATACATATGCCTCATGGAGTCCTGGTATAGCACTGTAGGATAAGCACTAAACTGATAACTGTAAGGTTGGTGGTTCAAATCCACTAGTCACTCCTTGGAAACCCTATACAGGGTCGCTATAAGTTGGAATCAACTTGACGGCACTTAAGAACAATGTAGAGTCAAGTTAAGCTATCAAAAATATTCCTGTTCAAGAACATAAATCTAATTATATTCAAAAGAAAAATAATTTATGTCAATTGTATTGGTCAGTAAGGCACATATATGGCCTTTTAACTCTCTCAATTTCAAATGGTGCTTTTAAAAACTGAATCAAGTTAAGTTCACCTAAAAAGAGCCTTTTTTGAACAAGGCAACACATGTTATTC